ACAGCCTTTGTCCCAACAGTCCAAACAACTATAGGGGGATCATTATCTTTTGTGAGGTTTATTCCTGCTCATTTTGATTAATCACAATGTGCAGTTGCGGTTCTTACTAACGATGGACTGAACAGTAAGACCTTTTTCTTTCATTTTATTTTCATGTGACATCCAGCTATCCAAAGGCTACGCAATTATTGTCACCTTATGAAAACAGACAAGTCCACACACTCCGAAACAAAGAGAGGAATGAGATCAAAGGGAGAACAAATAACATAGAATTCATACATATGACACTTTCATATGATACCCTACACCATCAAGCTTTAAAATGGCATATTCAATGAGGTATAAACATTTCTTGGGTTGTGTGCTTTCAGATTGTGTTTTCCGGTTGTGTGTATTAGGGTTTGTGCCATATGTTATTCGGCATTGTCTAACGTTTTGGCATGATGTCCAAAATTTTCTGACATGGAATCTTCAGCAACATAATGCCGAACATCACGCAACACAACCCGTAAAACACATTGGAGAGCTATTATTACAGCTAAACAGGGCAACCAGAAAAACCTATGCAATAATAATCAGAGATATGCCAACAACTCCTGCCTGGCAGTCCCAACACCATAGAGGGGAAATAAAACATTCTATGAATCTGGTGGAAAGTAATTGGCTTCTATAAAGGGTCCCCATTGCGTTTGCATTTGCTCATTCACCCTTGGGATAGAGTAATTCACATGTCCGAGGGCATTTTTGAAGCCAAACATTAATATTTGTTTGGTCTATAAAGTTAATTTCATTCTTGAAATTTGGTAAGCCTGACCATGATACAGAACATCTTACGGAGTAGTCTGTAGTTTTTAGTAAGTGGTAGTTGGGGGTGGGTGACTTAGAAAATAGACTTCCAAGGTAGGAATAACCGATGCAGATATTATGCGGTTAAAGAATCAAATAATAGCTGAATATATTCTCATCTTTCTACGACAAAGAGCATGATCGTATGTTCGTGTGAATTTGGCCCTATATGCATTCATAAAATTTGCACAATGTGGAGAAATAGAAATTGTGAAATCCTCAATGGAGCTGATAGAATACCACGAAAAGCAGCTTTCCAGATGAGAATGCAATCTTGTACTTGGATTGCACCATGTACGATTTTATGCCCATAAATATATTGTTCAAGGGTCTGTACGGGAGACCTCTGACCCAGGAGAAGCGAGTATACCCCTTAGAATCTATCATCACCCACCAATTCACTCAACCATTCCTCTAGAGGTCTTGGAAATTATAATAAGAACAAAGATGATATCCTCATTTCTATTTTTTCCCTTAGTCCTGGAGAAAAAAAATGTGATCCTGGTCCAAAAGATCTTAGATTCCATTAATTCCAAAGTCTTTCCATAAACGGCAACATAATTGAGTTCTGAGCCTTATTGGAGGGATTTATACAGATGTATCAGGATGGCTTTTGCCTTTTGATTACATGTGCTTACCTAACGTGTACTTTGGCTTTTAGTAATGTGAGCGATATGCACTGTAAATAATTCATGCAGAAATTATGCTGGTCCTGCCAGTGGCAGAGCATGCATGCCACTCTGGCATAACAGGGTTTCTTTAATGCGCATCGCCAATCAATAATTGGGTCGGGAGGTGGGGGTGCTCAGCAACAGGAGTAGGCCGAAGGAATTAAAGGCTTAGCACATCATCCGCCTGCTTCTCTGGCTACAGTTGTGGGATTGCCCAATATTCGACGAGCAGCGTATTAACCGGCGCGAGATGCCCCAAAGAAAGCTCTCATTCCTCCAAGAATCGTTAGCTACAAGTGTTCCACATCAGTATGCCCAGGGGGTTTGTGGCAATTCACAAAGAGTACCCTGAAATAAGCATTACCATCCTAATTATATTTTTTACGCGATATGTTTTTTCTTTTTTCAATTTGTGCATTAACCAAAAATTAAGCAGTCATTTAAAACTGCCGATTACCCCACAAAACTGGCAAAATTAAATATGTTAATAGATGTATTAATATGCACTGATGGAGGTGGCAGCATGAAAAAGTGGAGGTGTATCGAGTCTTTTTTAAAGTGTATGTCCGCAACCTGGAAAAATACGTAATCAAATTACAAGCGCCTTCGATGGTACTGTAGCATTCATGGCTATGGGTCACTCAATTTGAAATGATGAAGCACAACTAAAAGTGAGTTTAATTAATGCAGCTATACTGGACTGAAACAATTAATTTATTTCGACTTTATTATTAAAATAGAGTACTCTTGTCGAGTAAAGCCTGCCGTTGTCTCAACTAGTGGTCGAGAATAATGTGCAAGTTAAACGAAACTAAAATATTTTCAAATGGAAATTTGCACAAGTAGAATTCAATATTATAAAAAATACTTTAATTCATCAAGGGCTTGATTTCTCGCAGAGTATTTTCTGGGTCGCTGGTACACTAAAGTAGGTAGGGACTAGACTTAGCTACAGCCATAGCAAGTGGTATACTGAATGTGGTGTGCCCAGTGCAGACGTATTTTCCAGGTCATTTACCTGCCTAAAATGAATCCCTGCATTCGTTTTTACAACAGAAAACATTTAAATATACAAAGGGAGTAACGTTCAAGCAAAAAAAAATCCCTAATGTCACTGTCATGAATAAACATTTGCTATAATTATGCACATTTCAGTCACGAGGAATCACGGCAGTTTGCCTTTTTTCAAATGGAATTTTGACCTGAGCAGCTCAAAATAAAGAACATTTCAGCACAATATTTTCCTTCTCATCTAAAAAAGGTCATCGTGTCACACTTGGTAAAGGTCCGAGATGGGTTAGTGTTGCTACAGGGTCACAATCCCAGAGCACGCATGGACGCATGCACACATGGGGATCCAAAGGAAGGCGGACAAGAAAATCACATGCAGACAGAAGCCCACTTTGTGACTCACTCGGCACGATGAATATGCAACAGGCCTCACAGACGCCGCCACTGCTGCTTCAATCGCAGCGCAGATTCTTTTGAATGCCAGGATTTGTTGCTTAGTTCTTTGTTTGTTTAAAAAGTGCCATTTTTAGCAATGAATCGAAATGTGCTAAAAAAAAAACACAACTGTTTCACAAGCTGTGTGAATCACATTTTGTGAAAGTTCCCATTGGTACAAATCCAGGATTGTACGTGCTTTGTGTACAACATGCTAAAATGATAAATAATGTCATCCAGGATCTTCGTAATGCCAATCTGTGAAGCATTTATTTCCCCACCTCTTCAATTAGCAACAGCCTGCTATTGTTGATTGGTGGCTTGCTGCCAGTATGTTGCCTGCATGCTCGTGGTTACACAATAAACAAGTATATTTATTTATAACTTACAAGTCTAAATATGCATTACATTTCTGCAATTCTCACCATTTAACATTTCACTGTGACATATTCCCATTACTAGATAAACATATTTTAAATTTTGTGCACACTACAAACTATATTGGGAATTATGGAGTAGATTTGTATTCATCTTTATTTATATTGTATTATAATTTAATCTGAATCATGATAGAAGACAACGAAATGTCCATTAGAAACTCTCAAAAGAAATGTGCACCACCCATTGTGAGAGAATGACCCACAGAAGGTGATATCACAGAACTGCTTCTTGAGATCCCTTTAAGTGATCACACTATGGTGCTGGAATTTTCCTGCTATAGAGTTGGAATTTTGCCAACATGACTTTAAAACTAAATTGAACTTGATGGGATTTTTTATGTGCTTGCAATTTATGGCCAGACTAAAACCATTAACTAGTTACACTTGAGAACCCGGTTTCATCACCCATGCTTGAAATAAAAATTTGAAACCCAGGATTTCAGCAGACCTGGTTTAGTACTCTGACCCCTGCACTAGCTGGCAATCGTTGTGGTACACAGGGTTTAAAAAAAAAATATATAAAGATTAGACAGAGCAATCCATTTATAGATACCCGACTGATTTCTAAAGACTCTCTTTCGTCTCAACAGGTTTTAATGAAAGCAATGGATGTATATCTTGCAGAGAAACAGAGATTTAATACACGTCGAAAGATTGGTGGAAGAAATATGGAGGCTTTAAAATGAAATGTTATCTAATATTCCTGTTATTTTCATGCAGTATCTGCAGTAAAATTTGGTCATGCCTAAGAGAACTAGCAACTGGCTTCAGAATTCAATTCATGTATCCTATAGAACACGGCTTAGTTTATAAGTACGTCACACCTGCAAGCGTATACAGCTACCGATGTTTTCCCACCGCTCAGCCAAACTGCCAACACTCGAATTTAAAAGTTGCAATAGGATCTCCGATCCAATTGGCTTTTATATGGCGCGATGGGCGGACCTCCAATACGACATTTGGTTTGCTGAACTGGTGCAACAATGTGGACGCGTATGATGAATGTGACCATAACCTCTCGCAATGGCTGGGAGCCAAGCACGCACTGCATCCTAAGAAAAAAAATAATCCCTACCAAGAAATGGAGAGATGTGTTTATTATTCGCCCGCGTACAATTTCATAAACAAATACAAATCAGCGTGACCCCGCCTACCACCCACACAAAGACCTCTTGCGTCACACGGGAGGTTGCACGCTCAAATGCAGCTTGCGTCGTGATCATGTTATCGTATAGCCATTCTAGTTTGACGAACTCATAAGCCACAGATATTCAACTGGCGGCCCATAAGCTACATCTGCAAAGGATCTCGGAGCGGCCCGCCAAGAGATATACGTAATATACAGGTTAACGATATTAAACAGAGCTACACATGAGACAGAGATGACAGAGTGTAGATAAGAGATGAGTATTATTAAGTTGAAAGGTAGTTAAACAAGTGATTGAAATTAAAGAGCTGCAGATAAGAGATGAAGGTTAGTGAGATGATAGTGAGATAAACGCGAGAGATGAGACCTGGAGACAAGAGGTACAGATTAGTGATAACCTGCATAGAATACCGCTTAGGTTTTTGCTATTGTGTTGTATAGCGCGCCCACATTTTAGGGTTGTACTGCGTGTTGTTCTGCATGATGTCCGACGTTTCGCTCCATGTGCTGGAAGCTTCTTCAGAACTGAATGCTCATGCCAAACAACACGCGGCACAACCCCAAAAACATATCGAAGAGCTATTCCTGTACTGTACAAACATCATGAAATCACGCCGTCTGGCGTAACTATGTATGTGGCCCACCAGTAAATGTCAATTTCATTGACTCACCGGAAAATATATTTAAGGAACCCTGCCATAGGCTGATCACAAAAAGTATTTTTGGGAGGGGGGTACTTTTTGTCCACCAATAATTATATTCCAATTATGCTGTCAGCATTGTCATGTGAAAAATAAATATTCCTTAAGTCTCCCAGTGAATGCACTTTGTATTGGATAATTCCCCTGGATGATGAATCATAACTCTGAAGTAACCAATGAGTTTTTTTTTTAATCCACACCAGTGGACATGCATTTCATATACCCAGCAAAATATTCATCACATGTCAGTCAAAAACAACGTTTTTTTTCACAGGGCTGCAATAAGTAAAACAAGGTGCAGAACCAAATTTCGTTCTGCATTGGATGGGTTTATATATGTTGACATTTGTGACTCGACATAGACCATTAAGTTGTTATTTTTAAAATGCTGTTTCATTAGAGGTGCATAAAACCTGGATTGGAACCCAGGTCTTCAATACTGTAATATGGGCTCGTTGTTATTAGCGCTTTGATTTGCGCCTTCAAGTCTCTTCGAGGCGCTAAACCACACGAAGTAGTATAATGTACATTCAATTGTCAAACTATTTACACAATGCAGTCACATGTCCTTTCTTTCAGTGCTATTATTATTTGTCCAATTTCAATTATGTGAAAAAATTTAAAGTGTAAGAACCATTAAGTTAAACGTCTCTCTGACAAGAATGACCACAGCCCAAGACCGTTGGCAGTGGCAGCACAGGACATATCAGGGTGGGAATGTGCAAACAAAAGCAAAAACATTAATTATTTACACGAAACATGCCTAAACTTACTGCAAACAGGATGAATAGTGCTTAAATAAAAAAAATAACCGTGCAACAAAAACAAGTCACAGATGTATGACACCGAATTTCAGCTCTTTTCATTACTAAACATATTTTGCAATTATGCATATATATTAAAAAAAAATACTTGGGAGCTGAGCTGTGACACCAATACACACACTTGGCTTACGTTCGGTAAGGTCACGGGATCTTGAACGTCCACTTCACAGGGCAGACGCTGCGCGTAGGAAGGCCCCAGCAGCGTTGACTAGTGTCAGAGAGGAAATCGAACTTTTGACTCGGCACAATGCTGGCTCAGGGCGGGGCAAGCGTCAAGCTGTCAAGAAGCAAGGACATGTGCTCAAATATTAAACGAACCCACGTTGTTCAACTCATACATTAAATATGACTACTTTGCCAACTCAACTGTTTGTGCGTGGTAAAGTTGTTTCGAAAATCAATGGGACCGATAAAAAATATATGCAATGCGCCGAATCAAGGCCCGCACCAAGCCGTGGAGAAATCCCATGAGCTGTAAAGCTCTTTTTCACAGACGTCCCAATTGTTTCACCAGACTTGGCCACGCATGTCATTTGGGGATTGGCGAAGATGCGAGTCCCAGGAGTGGCTGTGCTAGCTGTGTACCACAAATTTCAGTAAAAGACTTGCAAAAATGATGATGTTGCTGTGGTGTTAAGATTGTAAGTCCAGTGACTTATAAATAAAATCACGAAGGGACTTTCAGTCCAGAGCTCGCCAGTTAAATTCGACCTCGGCGCGCTAATTTAGGTTGCGCAAGGTTATTAAATGCCCACCTCTGTCCACCCAACAGTAGAAATGAATATACTGTACCTGTTACGTAGGTAGATATACCAGTAGATATACCTGTTACGTAGGTAGATATACCAGTATATATACCAGTTACGTAGGCAGATATACCAGTAGATATACCAGTTACGTAGGTAGATATACCAGTAGATATACCTGTTACGTAGGTAGAAATACCAGTAGATATACCAGTTACGTAGGTAGATATACCAGTAGATATACCAGTAGATATACCAATAGATATACCAGTTACGTAGGTAGATATACCAGTAGATATACCTGTTACGTAGGTAGATATACCAGTAGATATACCTGTTACGTAGGTAGATATACCAGTAGATATACCTGTTACGTAGGTAGATATACCAGTAGATATACCTGTTACGTAGGTAGATATACCATCAGATATACCTGTTACATAGGTAGATATACTAGTAGATATACCAGTAGATATACCAGTTACGTAGGTAGATATACCAGTAGATATACCTGTTACGTAGGTAGATATACCAGTAGATATACCTGTTACGTAGGTAGATATACCAGCAGATATACCTGTTACATAGGTAGATATACTAGTAGATATACCAGTAGATATACCAGTTACGTAGGTAGATATACCAGTAGATATACCAATAGATATACATGTTACGTAGGTAGATATACCAGTAGATATACCAGTTACGTAGGCAGATATACCAGTAGATATACCTGTTACGTAGGTAGATATACCTGTTACGTAGGTAGATATACCAGTAGATATACCTGTTACGTAGGCAGATATACCAGTAGATATACCTGTTACGTAGGTAGATATACCAGTAGATATACCTGTTACGTAGGTAGATATACCAGTAGATATACCTGTTACGTAGGTAGATATACCAGTAGATATACCTGTTACGTAGGTAGATATACCAGTAGATATACCAGTTACGTAGGTAGATATACCAGTTACGTAGGTAGATATACCAGTAGATATACCTGTTACGTATGTAGATATACCAGTAGATATACCTGTTACGTATATATGTAGGTAGATATACCTGTTACGTAGGTAGATATACCTGTTACGTAGGTAGATATACCAGTAGATATACCTGTTACGTAGGTAGATATACCTGTTACGTAGGTAGATATACCAGTAGATATACCTGTTACGTAGGTAGATATACCAGTAGATATACCTGTTACGTAGGTAGATATACCAGTAGATATACCTGTTACGTAGGTAGATATACCAGTAGACATACCTGTTATGTAGGTAGCTATACCAGTAGATATACCAGTTACGTAGCAAGAAAGGCAACTTCAAGAGGTTTTTTTTTTGCTGTGGTTGTTCCACCTGATGACGATTGCTTGTCGTTGCGATCGAAACGTCGTCACCTATTATTTTATCTACCTACGTTGATCTTTACCGAAAGAACCAAAGAGTATGCATTCCTGCCGTCACGAAAGCTTCAAATCAAGATCGATACACCACAGTTAGTTAACAGGAGGCGTAAAGTGTGTGTGGGTTATTCCCACCTCCTCCAAGACGTCTGGCCATCGTTGAGGACAAACATCACGCGACTGCTTTTTTAGTTTTTTGTTTTGTTTCATTTATTTTGGTATAGCCCCTGTGAGCCATTCGGCTCTTGAATCGGGTGCAACCGCAACAAACAAAAAAAAACACGAACAAGAAAAACATCTTAAAGTAACTTTGTGCATGTGCAAACAGAAAATCCAGGTAAAAAAAACATCAAATATTCCTGAAATAGCACCGACTGTAAGGTAGGTGCCGCTTTACCTTCTCACTGCGATGCAGCGGAACTTACGGAATTTTTCACCGTCAACTAAGGGGTCAGCGACGTTTCGGCCGACTGGCCTTCTTGAAGATTTTTTTTTTCGTTTTAAAACCCACAGAATACAGCATTAACGTTAACTAAGGGATTATATCACCGATTCACACGTAACTTATTACCTCTGAGACGCATGAACAGTGAGCGCGTTACATTCGCCAAATGTTAAACATTAGACTTTCTCGACATCCGTAGCAGCGACAACAGTGAAAAAAAACACTTGGCGGGAAATTATTAACCAATGGCGTCTCGCGTAGGGAAAACATCACAAGGCAACGCCCACCAAGCTCCGTGCTGTCATTGGTCGCCGTTGCCCAATAGCAACGCGGCAACGGTGGGGCGGTGTGGGTACCCCCCCTTCTCCCCCCACCCCCCCTTCTCCATCCCACCCCCCCCTTCTCCCCCCCACCCCCCCTTCTCCCCCCACCCCCCCTTCTCCCCCACCCCCCCCTTCTCCCCCCACCCCCCTTCTCCCCCCACCCCCCCCTTCTCCCCCCACCCCTCAACCCACAAGCAGCTTCCAACAAATTTTCTAATACTCGTTGGCTTTTTAGTTTAGTGCTTTCTAGAGCTCTTAATCCACACGTACGCGTTACTTTTTTTTTACACGCCACAGGAATTCACGTACGCAGCACAGAATTGTCGCTTAGTACAAGCATACAAACTGACAGTGTTTGCATGCTATAGGCATACATGTCAACCCCTTATCAGTGCCCTAACTTATCACAGACCAATTCCAGACCTTATTGGTCACCCCGTGCCCCTTATACATCTCCACGTTCATCCTACAAAGTCCCATCACAAGGGAGAAACACAAATATACAAAAAAAGTTGTCCCCGTATTGAAACGGCTGTACGCCGTATGGACCTGAAAACTCAACTTCCCTGAGCAATAATCCGGGAATTCGTTAGAGCAGCGGTTCCCAACATTTTCGAGTGTCCAAATATTTCGTGGACCACCACATGCTTTCTCCAAGTTATATTGAAATTGTACATTTCCTTGAGGAGGATAATTTTTTTTAATTTTCTGGCTAAAAAAAATATTGATGTTTTAGAGCACCACCCTGCAGAATTTCACCCTTTTTCAATGTTTCTTCCGTAACAATAAGTTAAAACGTCTGCAAAGAGGTCATTATGTGCAAAGTGAGAGCATAATGGTAATAAAGAAACAATAAAAGGTTTTCCAGCAGCTTCACCCTTAAATTCGACTAAGTTGCCTCGCCGTATACGTGATGTGATGGAAAACATGTAAATGCTGTTAAGTGCATGGATCGAAGATCAGAGCCAATATTATACAAGCGAAAGCAAAAAGGTTGATTTAAAGCGTGTACATGGTAAAAACTCACAAGTGGAAACTTTCGGTGCTAGTAACGGGTCGTTTCTGAGATTTAAAAGGTGTCATTGTTGGTATAGCGTTGAGATGCTGAGTGATGAAGCTGCCGATGCTGATGCAGACGGGGGTTTGTTAAGCATCCTGAAGCGCTGAGAAAATTATCTAAGAAAGCGGGTGTTTAATGTTGACGAGACGTGAGACTTTACTGCCAGAGAATGCCTGCCAGTATATTTATTTCTGAGGGAAGACAAGGCTGGGCCAGGGTTTAAAGGAGCCAAAGATCGCTTGAACGCTTCTTCTGGGGACGCAATTGCTGCGCGGTGATTTTAAGTTGAAGCCTCCTTAAGGACCTTAATGGTCAACCATTCCAAAAAGTCCCAGGGCTGATGAAGGGCCACTCCAAGACCAATGGCCCGATGATTTGACTCCGATTTTTTCTTTTTACAAACTGGTTCTCTACGTGTTTTGTTTTCCTCCTGTTGAAAGGTACAGTGACAAAAAAAATAATACAACAAAATCTCACCAACAAAAGGCGTCGCCCAATCCTAGACAATGCCCCATGGCACCCCAGTCAATTTAGACTACCTGTCTGAACAGTCTGATCATGTGAGGGTCGAGGTACTTCACTGAAAACACAACGGCCTTGATTCGCCCCATGGATCACCGAGGCGTCGTCGCCACCTTCAAAGGCGCAGTGGCTGAGGAATACTTTTCGCCCACTGATGGGGAAGGATAAGCCTACACAAGTAGGGAGTCCTGGCGAAACGACGACACTACCAACACCGTGGACAAACAACATCGCCGGGTGGCGGGACGAACTGAAATCGGCGCTGTGTAAGGCGATATGGCCCGAGTGTGTTCACCATTGTCATGGCCTTCCCACAAACAGAAACCAATCCGCAAACTCAACCAAACATTGTGACCCTCGCAAATGACGAGGGGTTTTGCAGGCGTCGTAGAAGCTGATGTGGATGAGGTGCTGCAGTTCCATGGAGAGCACTTGTTCGAATGAGGGGAAACTATGAAAAAATAAGAATAGATACTCTTTGGTTATTTCGGTAAAGTCACGTAGGTATAAAATAAAATGAATCACGACGTTTCGAGCGCAACACAAGCGTCCATCATCAGGTGGGAAAGCATTATGTTAATGTGTAGCCACTTCCGTGCCCTCTAATGTCTCACATTAACATCATGCTAATCTCTCACATTAACATAGCCACTTCCGCGCCCTCGTCCAGGAGGCCGCTCTCCTATTTTACAGTTACATGCTAATTACTCACATTAACATCACTAGCCCCGACAACTTCTTCATGACCCTTGAGCTACACTGATTTCAAACCTTTTAAAACCGTCTGCCTCAGCAGCAGACCATCGCTTTCCCACCTGATGATGGACGCTTGTGTTGCGCACGAAACGTCTATTTTATACCTACGTGACTTTACCGAAAGAACCAAAGAGTATGGATTCCTGCAGTCACGAAAGCTTCAAATCAAGATTAAAGAAGAATAGGTTTGACCCTTTCTGGCAATATAATGGGAGGTGATGAGACGTTCAAACGTCAAATAGAAACATTTCGCAAGGAATCATGTCTGCATTAACCACACGTACTTGTGGTGAACATGCAAACAAAAACATGGTCTGATCATATATTGCATTGTCTTTAAAATGGATTGGTCTACACCAGAGGCAGCCTTCTTAAGGGCCTTGTCTCACCAGTGTCAGACCAGAGAACAACGCCAAAAGGCAGGTCTATGTAAACTTGATTCCTTGCAAAAGTTATCTGTTTGGTGCTTGAACATTTGACACCTGTTTTATTGCAAGAAAGGACAAAACCTATTCTTATTTTTCATACTTTGAAACTGGCAAAAAAAGAGGTCCTATGATATAGGAGGAACTAACTGGTGGTGTGGCTGTAAACAATAGCGATGCGGCAGGAGGAAAGGAGGGTGAGGAAGCGCCATTCATCCCACTCATGTTTTGAGGGCAGGTTTGCAAATCTTTACAAATCCACTGCACAAACCGCTTCACACGGTGATCACAATTCTTGGTACCAGTTTTTTTTCGAGACTTATTTTGAGTATGCTCAACTTCTTTCGCACCATACGTAGCCAACCGTGCTAATCGGAGGTGCGGCGGTAGGACACCAATGTTATCATAAATGTTCTATCTAATAGTGCTTTAAAATGGTCTGCTGCATTCTTAAGTGTGGATTTTATTACGTCTTGAAGGGATACATCTCCAATTATATCACGAAAGTCAATCGGGACATTGGATTCGCGATACAAAATTTCACTTCACGGACTTTTTAGAAAAGTCGCTGTTCCGTATATCGAGATCCTAGTAGCAAAAGTAGCTACACATGCTACGGGCCCCGCACTTTCAAGGGCACCGCGCTAAATGCTTTCAAGCTGTCAATTCCGGTTCAGTTACTCTGCACTTGCTCTATTACTATAGTACTATACTGACTTCAACTTTTATGTACGACTGGGTGTTTAAGGTTAGCGATTTGTCGTATTATCTGGCTGTATAGCAAATGAAAAAATACAATTACTTTACTATGCAAGCAAAAAATGTACGTGTTTTAATATATTTTTTATTTAGGGCACCTTTATAACATATGCTACAAGCCCCGCACTAGCTTAATCCGACACTGGATGTACGTATATAGATGTATCTCTATCAGTGAGATGATAAAAACAAATGATCGAGCGTGTTTTCTATGGTGAAGGACAATGGTGTGAAGTGTGAATCGTAACTGTTTCGGATCACAGTGACGGCTAATGGTGAATGTGTAGCTTGTTTCGTCTTATTTAAGACTTCTCAGCTCAAGTGGTGCCCTCCAGCCAGCCCAATGCCAGATGCCGTGTTGCTCTTTGTCAACCCGCGAAACGAACCTACATTGACGAATTGTCGATACAACCGGTACATTTGGACTTTGCCATTAAGACACAAACCCCCAAAGGGTTGCTCCACACTCTTACATAACAGACACAACGGTGTAGTGATGACGTATCATTATAACCAAGTCGTGCGTGTGTGTGCCAGGCATGGTTAAACGTTTAACAGAATTTGTATTGAGGAGCAAGAGAGAAAAGCGCGACTTTTATTTTTATTTAACCCAAGTTTTAGCCCTTTAACAACTTAACAATCTCACAATAGCATCCTGGACCCGGGTCTGGGCTTCCCGGCGTACAGATTTCGCACTATATACGCGCCTGGAATGATATATCCCATCGTTTGCATAAGGGGCCGTCCATAAATGACGTCACGCACCTAGGGGGGGGGGGTCAGACATTTGTGACGATGTGACGAGGGGGGGGGTTTGAGAAATGTGACGTCACATAAAAATGCGCAACTTTAAATAAATATAGACAAGACGTTCTACTTAGTTAAATAGACTTTTTTTAATAAATATTCTTGGTTCTCTCGGTAAAGTCACGTAGAAGGGAAACAATAAAAATAATAAAAATATAAAACAATAAAATTATCACGACGTTTCGACTGCAACATCATCAGGTGTGATGATGATTGCTTGTGTTGAAGTCGAAACGTCGTGAGAATGTTATTGTTTTATAAGTTTATTATTTATTTATTAATTATTATTTTTTTGTTTCCATTCTACGTGACTTTACCGAAAGAACCAAGAATATGAATCCCTGCAGTCACGAAAGTTTTACATCAAAATTTTTAATAAATGTTTTCTCCTACAACATCAGAGTACAGCGGCACATTAAATACGCACTACAATGACAATAATTTAAAGCGATTTGAAGCATGTTTTATATATTTTTTTGGGGGGGGGGGGGCAGAGCTTTGTGACGTCATATTTGAGGGGGGGAGGTCTGACTTTTTTGACGCCGTGTGACGAGGGGAGGGGGGGGTCAAAAATCGTCCAAAATCGTGTG